TTGAATACTACTGGGTATTATTTAAGGGAGTGTATTACTTTAGGGGGGGTATTGTATGCAGTAGTCTACAGTAGTAACAGGTCCATCTAGAAAAACTACAATAGATTATTATTAATCTGAATATATATAAAAATATATAGTTTGTATAAGATAATTAATATCATATCAAAAGGATTTCATTATCCAGAATATTAAGTTAATTCTTAATAAAAGTGCTCACATTTAATATCAGTTGCAGATTAAAAAAATAAAAAATAAAAAATTATCCTTATTGAGATTTAAAGAGCATTCATATTTATATATATTTTAATATATAAATAAATATAATAAAAATATAAAATAAAAATAAAAAAGAAAATGATTAGTTTTTTATTTACTCATACTTTAATTGAGAATTAATTATTATTTATAGTAAACAGAATCAATATTCTTGAAATATAATTCAAATATTTTTTCATATTATAATTTATACCAAAGTAAAAATAGATACGAATATTATATTCTTTCTTTTTTAAGAATTAAATATTTATATTTATTCAAATTCTTTGATTTTTTCTAAAGTATTTATTAAGTTTTCTTGTGATTTTTATACTATATCATATAATAAATATTCAACTCACTTTATCAGATATTAGATCTTTCTTCAGATAGTTTTTTTGTTTATGATAGCTATTACTTTATACTTCTTTTACTTAGTATTAGATAGAAAAAATACAAGAGATAAAACAGATTAAAAATTTTTTTGATGAAATCTAATATAATTTTAGCAAAGAGATATAGAAAAGGGATTTTTATTTTGACTAGTAGCTTCAATTTGTATATGATTCGAGAAATGACTTTTATAATAATAAATAATTAAAAAATCTTAAAGTCAATTTCTTGATAAATCGATTTTAATTTATAAAAGAACTTGTATTCTTTATATTGAGAAGAACTTGCTTTTCTTTTTCAAATATCAAGTAATAGTAATGTTTATTGATTTGTTTGATCTGATATTATTGTACTCTTATTTAATTAAAGATAGTTATATTATATAATAAAATTTATAATAATTCTTCTCATCTTCATGTTGAAATCTTCAAAAGTTGCAATAATCTGTCAAGTTATTGATTACTTGCTTTAATCTATTGATAGGTATTACAGAAAATAATATATTTTTAAATATAATTTTTTATTATTAGTCAATAGAAATGTCTCATAATAGCTTTGATTATCTTGTCAATTTCTAATTATCTAGTAGTCTCAATATCATAGTATTTTTATAAAATATAAGTCTAAAAATATTTATTATTTAATATGGCTATTTAATACTTATCTTATAAATAAATGTATTCATTTTTTTAGATATAATATCTAGTATATTTTTTGATTTTTTTATTTGCTTGTTCTGAATTTTAAAAAGTTTTGAGAATTAATATAAAGTATATGTCATCTTGATATTTCAGATAAATATCTAATTATTTATTAAATATATTATCAAAATAGAGATAATTATAAAATATGATTGTCTTGATAGAGTATTAACCATAATAGTTGTTTTTAAGATCTATATTTTATCATAAAATCATATATTTATAGAATTTTTAATTATCAAACTTATTTTTATAATATATTTCAAAAAAATATATTTGGTAATAGTAAAATATTATTCTTATAAATACATATACCAGATTTTGATAGCATGAATGATTAATAATAATTTTTTTTCATATACATATAATATAATTTTTTTTGGTTAATAATAACTTTCTTAAGTTATATTCTATATGTTGTTTTTCTTTTTCTTAATTTTATATAAAAACAGCTTCAATAACAAAATTTAAAGTATTAATTATTACTATTAAGGACTTGGTTGGATCAAATAAAGCTAGTACAAGAATAGTAATCAATTTTTCCTTAAGCTGTCAAAATATTTCTTATATAGTATCAATCTATTCAAAGGAGATATTCTCTTATAGCAAGATAGTCAGAAATATAGCTATAGTAGAAAATCTATTATGAACTTCTGATAGCAATTAGCTAGTTTCAAAAATAATTAGGCTTTAATAAAATTCAAAAGTATTAATTAGGTTTGAATGGTTTCAATATTTCTTGAATTAATAAAGATCCTTTATTCTAATATAAAATGATCTATATATTCTACTTATTTTTTTTATATTAATTCACACTTTTTTGTTTTAATATATAGCTTATGCTATTAAAAAGTAGTCAAGATAGTTTGAACATATTCTGGATATTCTTCTTTAGTTTGGCTATAAATCAAGTTGTTATCAGATATGCAATAATAAATTTATTCAAGTATTCTTGAAATATATTATTTATTAATATTATAAAGATAACAGGAACATTGATTAAATCAAAGGAAGGACAATAACTCAAAATATTCATATCTGGTTCAGAAAGCTGTTTTGTGAATATTAATATTCTTGATTCTAATTTGATAATATTCAGAATAAAAATCTATTTTAGAAAAATAGTAGGTACTAATTAATCAATTCATTAATTCTTTAATACAAGGCAAGGAATATTAATTCTTGATAGTAATTTTGTTCACAATGTAATAATTTATACAAAGTTTCAAGATTTCTTCTTTTTTTATAAATGAAAAGTACTGAAGCATCAAATAGAAAAATGTTTAATCAAATAAATCTCTTGAAAATTAAGTTAACATGTTTCTTTAGTTCATTTATTTTTAAATATAATAGGCAGTAGGTTGATTTTGATAGTGGTTCAAATTCTGATATAAACTTAATAGTATAATCAATACTTTATTGTAATAGTAATCCATTAGACAATTTGTTAAAAAACATATTAACAAATTCTTGAGTTAAGACTTGCTTTTTAGAGTTCAGTTTCTTAACAATATTTTTAATAGTAATAGAACAGATGACAAATAGGTTAGCAATTTTAGAGATGATAATTAGCTAGTATCAGGAAATATAGACAGTGGAGTATTTAAAGATAAAAAATTAATTGAAATAATGCCATAAAGAATAAGAGATGTAATAAATAGGAGATATAAAGACAATGATAGTGATACGACATAGAATATTATTAAAGTAAATTAGTGTTATAAACCGAAAGCAGCCATACCTTTTCAGATAAATTCTAATACTTAAGGAAATTCTCAAGTTTATTTTATTTATGCTTAGTTTGTATGAGCGGAAGCGATATGAATAGACGAAATTCTATATATATAGTGTAAGAAAGATTATGGGGCGATAAAAATAAAATTAACTTAAGAATTATTCTAAGAGGAGAGAGACTAAAATCTTTAAAACTGTAACCATCTCAATGACTCAACACATACAGTAGATCTAGCATAACACCTCCAAAGAAGCATAACACTTCACTCCTCGTTACGAGAATCTCTATAACTGTAACTAGAGAAGAAGCATAACACCTCACTCCTCGAGAATAGAAGCATAACGCTCACCTCGGGAATCATTATAACGCCTTCAGAGAAGAAGCATAACACCTCTCTCCTCGGGAATCTCGATTATTGTAACTAGAGAAGAAGTATAACACCTCTCCTCGGGAATAGCATGACGCCTTCAGAGAAGAAGCATAACACTTCTCTCCTCGGGAATCTCGATTATTGTAATTAGAGAAGAAGCATAACTCCTCATTCCTTGATACGAGAATAGCATAGCACCTTCAGAGAGAAGCATAACACCTCTCTCCTGGAAATTTCGATTATTGTAACTAGAGAAGAAACATAACACCTCACTCCTTGTTATGAGAATAGCATATCGCCTTCAGAGAAGAAGCATAACACCTCTCTCCTCGGAAATCTCGATTATTGTAACTAGAGAAGAAGCATAACACCTCACTCCTTGTTACGAGAATAGCATATCGCCTTCAAAAAAGAAGCATAACACCTCTCTCCTCAGGAATAGCACGACGCCTTCAGAGAAGAGGCATAACACCTCTCTCCTCGGGAATCTCGATCATTGTAACTAGAGAAGAAGCATAACATCTCACTCCTTATTACGAGAATAGCATATCGCCTTCAGAGAAGAAGCATAACACCTCTCTCCTCAGGAATAACATGAATAACATGACGCCTTCAGAGAAGAAGCATAACACCTCTCCTCGAGAATAGCATGACGCCTTCAGAGAAGAAGCATCTGTATCCAAATAACTTTCTTCCGACTCGTAACCTGCGTTTTCATCCTCCTGTCTTAAAAAGAAAGATTATTATTGTATACTTCAAAAATAATATAAAAGAAAGACTCGCAGGCTTTTGCTTTTTACTAGATCTACTTTTGCTATCTTCCAACGTGCGTTTCTGTATTCTTGTATTTTCTTTAGTAAATTCTACAAAACCGTCAGAAAAATGCTGATGGATCTTTGTTACTGATTCTGCATTGTTCCGTAATTGAGAAACATGTGGCGTATATATATATCAAATTATTTAGTACGAATAGCGCACTATATCTAGAAAGTCGGGTATAAAAGAAAGAAAAAAGTACCTTCATATGGTCGGTTTCGGCGAGATCAATAGTCTTTCGACTTTCAATCACTTCCAATTCCCGTTCGGTCCGATAATGAATCTCAAGCTGTTGGAAATATTCCGTTGTTGTTCGTGAGGATTTCCATGTCTGCTATCGTGAAACATGAAAACTTAGCCAATAATACATAAACAAAAATTAAATCTCGTAGTTTTAAAAAAAACGTAAAGGACATAGCGAACAAATAGTCCAACACCGGTAACAAATAGTCCCTAGTGTGCTACAGGAGACCAAAAAGAAGAATAGACAAATAGTCGATCTTCCAGTTGACAAATAGTCCCTGGCTCAATCCAACATCTTTGTTATCTCTTCAGATTTGTAACAATAAAAAACAACAAATAGTCGTCTAATAACGTATACAATCCTATCCTAACATGTACTATTTATTTATTTGTTTATATAATACGTCCCTGAAAGTCCTCGTACATTTTAGTTGCCTTCTGTCGCGTATCTTGCCTCCGCAAATAGTCAATAAGTTCCTCTGTATCTAGATCTTTCACCACGTCTGCCATCGTGCGTGTTGACCTTTCTTCAGTCAAAGTAGAGGATGTAGAGTTTGGTGAGGAGGGTGTTGAATCGTGCGAAGACATTGTATTCATAATGGTGTAAGGCGTAATGAATCTGGTTTATGCGATGCGTTTATGACCTCCGACTGAAGTGAGATGATGCAAGGAAGAAATGAAAAAATTTTTTCGTAACTAGATCAGTGGCTTTTTATAGTATATAGATTACGCAACATATATAAATGGCGGACATACGACGATCTCGGAGATTGCGGAGATTCCGACTTCCCAAGACATAAGTCTCTTTATATACGCACTAATGGAGATTGTCGGGTCAAACTTCCTTAGTTTCTTTTCGAGTGTCGTTTATGCTTATTCTTATCGTGGAGCATGTTTAACATAGATATTTTCCCAAACTAAATACGTATAGAATAACGGAAACAAGATTTACGAACTTCTACGTTGATCACTTATTCGTCGGTTAAATACATACCATTATCAGCCCACCTTCGACAAGAAAATACGAATTAGATTTAAAAGAGCCATAAGGGAATGGGCTTATCATTTTTTATTAGTAGTTTTATCAAAGTTAATATGTTACAATGACTTGGCTTTTCCCAGATCATCGCGATCATTGTCTTTTTTACGAGATCGTCAAATTAAGGGGTATTTTACCGAGGCGGTCACAAGTAAAACCTGACTCACATTAAGTGGTTAACCGAAAAAATGACGAAAATATATTTGGTTTTGGAATAGATTTAACGGCTCTGGATGGTATAAAATGCTTTGTTTTTTTTCTCTTGTAAGGTGGGTACCAATAACGTTTTCTAATTAATAATATAAAACGTATTCACATTTACTGTTTTTTTATATAGGGACAGAAAAAGGACCGCTCGCAGGACTAACAAATCCAATGCTTCCGAGAGCAAGACTAATGTTACCAGTACCTTCAAGATCGATAAAAAATACAAGTAAAACCCCCGAAAGGCCTAGAGAGAAGCCAAAAACGTAGGTTTGATCATCGACTACCCATTGCTATGGGACTACCCCGGCATCAACCCGATAACTGGTTTAAAAGTAGAGAGAACTTATGGCTTCAGTGGTGTTGACTTATCAATATTTTCATACCTGTATGCCGTTTGGCAACTTTTTTTAAAAAATAAATATGAATAGTTTAAAAAACCATTTTATTACTAACAGTATACATGATACTTTTCACAAAACAAATCCAAACATCAACATCAATCAAACTTATCCTTCTTATATTAACAACTCTTGTGTAATTTGCTATTCACCTCACTAACCTTTTACATCAAGAAATTTTTTTGGCAAAGATCTTTGAAGATTTTTGGATGTAAAACTTCGGAGGTGCTCTGTTATCGTTAGAAGTCTTCAGAATGAAGATTTATATACTGTATATAATTTCAGAAATTTTTGAGTGTTTTAAATTTTAATAAAATAATTTCACATTATTATTAAAATATTTATTTTTCGAAATTTATTTATTGAAAATTACTTATTTTACATATTTTTATTAATTATTTACATTTACATCACTCATTGCCAAAGTAGACCTTTCTATTCCTATATTTTTTGGTTACAATTCTAAATCATTTTTATTATTTTCTACTTTCTCCAGAATACTTTGAATTTCAATATCTTTCTGTTTATGTATTTCTTGATTTTTATCACTTGAATTACCTTCTATAAATCCATTTTTCTTTTTAATTTTTTCCTAAAATATATTATTAGTAAACAAATAATTCTATAATACTTCAAAGAATTTTAAAACTTACCTTATTTTTTCTATTTTGCTTTTAATTAATTCTTTATTAATTAAAATACTTTCATTACTCAGATTTAGAATTATTTGGCATATTGTGATAGTGAATGCAACTTGGTCTTCAGAGGCATCCCCTTTTGTCCAGACTTTTTTGAGAATATGTGTTATTACACTTTGGTTTTCTTTCCTAGAATAGACATGAAGATTTTTGAAGCACTCCTGGATTTTTTACAATTTTTTTCAGGCCATAATTTCAGTAGCAGTTATATTTGTATTAATTGTATCCAAGGAGTTTTCACTAAATACTGAAAATATTGCATCTCAGATTTTTGAAACTATGATCTTTCAAAGCGATCTGTATTGTTTTACAAGTTATTAAATAAATAATATTATTAATAAATTTATTTATATTATTAATAATTGCAATAATTATCACTTATTGAATATGCTTTTCATAATATGTCTTCCAATGTTTTCTTGTAAGACCTTCAAAGAACTCTGAATGTTCTTGCTGAAAATATTCCTCTGTATGTTAGTGAAAATCTTCAGGATCCATGTATAGTTTTTCAAAAAAGATTTCTTTTATTATACTCTTGTGAAGTTCTTCGAAGATTAAAAAATTAAACCTTATCTTGATAAAATCCTGTTTGATGATTAAATATTGACTCATGTGAATTTCATTTTCTAGGTGAATAATCTTATTCTTGACAGCTTTTTGATATTCTAATAACTAATTAATTTTCTTATAAAGACTTTTGTGGGATTCCAAAAGCCTCTCAATTACTATATTAGAAACCAAATATACAAATTAGTATTTATTTAAATAGTTATATCTTTTTTAATATATGAAAGATTCTTCAGACAACCTTTTAGTAAGTGAAGATTCTAGAATATAATTGAGAAATCTTAATCATTTCTAGGATAACTCTGTTTCCATTTTGGCTTAATATATTGATCTTTGACCTGGGATACTGAGAGTACTCTTGGGCTTTTTGAAAAACTTTGAAGTATTCTTTTCACCAGAGCTTGAACTTGAAATTATTTGTTAAAACATGTTATGCATTTCTTTTCTTTTATTTGATATAAATAAAAAAAAAAGAACTTTAGTGACCTTATATAACACAAATCCCAAGAAGTTATGTCATATTATAATCAAATACTACTTTTCATCACCTTTCAAAAATTACTTTATAGCTTTAAAAATGAAATAATATTGAAATCATATTGATAAAATTATAATAACTTATAAATTAAATTTTTGATTGACTAAATTAATCAGTATTTTATTGATTAATTTTATTTTAATATATATATTAT